GGGGGGGGGGGGGGGGGGGGGGGGGGGGGGGGGGGGGGGGGGGGGGGGGGGGGGGGGGGGGGGGGGGGGGGGGGGGGGGGGGGGGGGGGGGCGGGGCGGGCGTCTCCTCTCTGGGGAGCCTTCCCTGTGCCTAAGCTCCCTGGGCTGCACTATCCTGTGAGGCTCCTCCAGCAGACGGGAGCCACAAGTCAGGTGCCCATCCAGTCGCGGGGGTTCCCAGATGGGGGGAAGCTGCAGGTTTCTTCCTGCAGCTTGGTGAGACCCCCCCCCACCCCCCTTGTGAGCCGTGGGCACCCCTGCGCTGAGCCTTCAGCCACACGGAGACTCACAGGCGCATCCTCTGGCCGCGGTCCCACCCAGACCAGCGAGGTCAGCCTGGGGGTGGGGGCTCGTCTGTTGAAATTCCCTGGGACTTCTCGCCGTGGGCCCCTTGGGATACTCCCTCAGCCCCAGGCTCGGTCGGGTCCTGTCACCGTGTCCCACAGATCACAGGCCCCTTGGCGGCGTCCTCGCTGCCAGCCGTGGGCTCTCCCCGGGCACCCCTGGGACCGCTGTCCTCCCACAGCGTGTCTGGGGGTGGACCCAGGGAGCTCACACTCAGCCAGGTCACCTCTGACCCTGGCGAACCTCCCAGGGGTTAAGTGTCCTGGTTGTTGGGGACTCGGCACTGTGGTCCCGCACCCGGAGTGCCCTCTCCAGAGCGGGAGCGTGTGGGGCGGTGCCCGGGTGCTGAGGCGCTGCGCCTGCACGGGCTGCTCTCTTACAGGTGCGCGGCGCCGGCGCGGGGACGGATCCCGAGCTCCGAGTGTCCTGGGACAGCGTCCTGAACGCCGAGCGCGCCGGGCGCTGGTGGATTGTGGGGTCCGCCTGGAGCGGCGCCCCGATGGTGGACGATGGTCCGCAGAAGGATTTGCAGAGTCCGCGCGCGGGGACGGTGCGTGGGCGACCGAGTCCGCACGCGGCTGTCGCTGGGGTTATTTGATGATATTACAGAAGTTGCTGTGATTTTGTGATCTTCCTTTGAAGGTATCAGAGCTGTTAGCTAAGAGACTTAGACGCAGAGAGGAGGGAGGGGACGCTCGGCCGTCAGACACTGGCCGCCCTGCCCTCGCTCACACCGGCGGACCCTCCAGACCTGGCGGGTTCCTCTGGGGGTCTGCTCTGTCTCTTGGTGTTGCAGTAGGGGTGCTGAGAAATGAAGATTTAGCACTGACACGTGTGGATTTACCTCTAACTTACAGTTATCCCTGAGGTCAAGCCACAGGATTACACACATAAGTTTTTAGAAACTTGGTAACTGTACTGAACCAAAGGAGAAATTTCAGTGACTCGTCTGTACAATCTGCGCCCTGTCTTCCCTCTTTCCAGATTAGCTCGAAGATCCTGGAGCTCGCCCGCAAGCAGAGAATGAACACCGACGTCAGGAGAAACATATTCTGCACAGTGATGACGAGTGAAGACTTTCTGGATGCGTTCGAGAAGCTCCTGAAGTAAGCCCCGTGTGCGCCGCCTCCTTGGCCTGTGAGTCGGGGGCTGGGGGTCCCCCCCCCCAGCGTCCCTCCTGCTGACTGAGCGCTGGTCGCTCTGGGTGCGGACAGCTCATAATCTGTCTGATTGGAGGAACTGGGTGACCACTTGATGGTTCTCGGTGGCTGTGTCGTGAGCCGCTCGACTCTTCCTGTTGTCCTTCTGACTGTGTCTCAATTAAACCCCCCACGTGGCTTCTGCACTCAGTTGTAACGAGATTTAAAAGCATCTGTGTACTTTGACAAAGCACATCTAAAAAGCCTAGTGTTAATTAATTTTCCTTTATTTGCTTCAAATTCGGAAAGAAATACAAGGGACGTATTGCAGGACTGGGCAGACCCCACACAGCACTAAAGGGGTGGGTCTTCCCGTGTCCAGACGCGCCCTCATGGGGACAGCAGGTGGGGCGGCAGGGACCGCGCTGCCGGCCCGCAGCTGAGGCTGCCCCTGTGGGTCGGTCGGCCCGGGGCCCCTGTTCCCGGGCCCGGGGGGTCCAGTCCTGCCCCCACCTTCTCCGCTCGGCTCCCTCACTAGACGGCCAGACAGGGCATGCTCTGGGAGCGCTGTCTGCCTCAGGCTGCCGACATTGGGCAGGTTGAAGGTTCAGAGCTCGCGGCTTCTGTCCTCCAGGCTGGGGCTTAAGGATCAGCAGGAGAGAGAGATTGTTCATGTCCTGGTGGACTGCTGCCTGCAGGAGAAGACCTTCAACCCTTTCTACGCCTTTCTGGCCGGCAAGTTCTGCGCCTACGAGTGGAGGTTCCAGGTGACGGGGCCGGGAGGCCACCTGCCGTCCACTGTCTGACTGCGGGCCCCGAGCCGAGCGCGGCGGGTGGGCTCCCTGGATCCGTCTTCCCAGGTCCCCTTGCCCTGTCACAGATGAGGGTGCTGTGACCTGGTGCACCGGCAGGGCCTGTGTGGCCCCGTGTTTCTCTAATTTGAGGGACAGCGTCTCAAAAAAAGGAAAACTGTGAGGTGGTTTCAAACTACTGTGTACTCGAAGCCAGTGTAGTTGTCTCTAAGAAGTCTTCAGCTTACGGATGTTACATCTGAGTGATTAAGTACCATGCTTTGGATTATGTTTGTAGTGACTATTCTAATAATTTGTGGAATTTTAACTTTTTCCCCCTTCTTATTCTCTTAGATGACATTCCAGTTCAGCATATGGGACAAATTTCGGGACCTAGAAAATTTGCCAGCCACTAATTTCGCTAATTTGGTTCATCTGGTGGCCCACTTGTTGAAGACGAAGTCGCTGCCACTGTCCCTCTTAAAGGTGTGTGTCGCACGTGGACTGATTCAGGGCGCTGACGCTGAGCACGTGCAGCTGAGCCTTGAGCCGCGTAGGGTCGGGGCACAGACCCCGTGGGGAGTCGGAAAACCTTCTGGCTTTACAGTCGCCTCCGAATTCTGGTTCCCCGTGTCAGGAGTCACCCCACTTGGGAGTGTGTGGTCCTGCAGTGCATTTTAGGGGGAGAAGTCCTCGTATAAGTGGGCGTGCAGTCCAGAAGTGCGCTCAGGGCCCAGGGCCAGTGTGTTCGGTGCTTTGGGAACACACGTGTCCTTGGATCCTGACTCGCCTGGGAAACGTCCTCATCATCCGGGCAGACAAGCAGGCAGCGTCAAGTTGCCGGTAGCTTAGGGCACCGTGACAGCTGCTGGCTGCTCTCCGTGGGGCCGGGGGTGCGAGTTCAGGGCCTGCTCACACGCCAGCTGCGTTAACCTCCTGTGCCTTTGGGGTGGGGGCTGGGGTGTCAGATGCTGTGCCGAGCGTGTGGGCCGACAGCTTAGCCCCGCAGCCCGGCACGGGGCTCACCCACGGCACAGACCACTCTGGCTTTCTCGTTGCTGGGGGATTGTGCCTTCTGCTTGCTCAAGTTTCAGCCCAGAAGGGACGGTGCACGGCGTGTCCCTCAGCTGCAATAGGTCCTGGAGACGCCCCTAGGGCAGGCGAGACGCCCCTAGGGCAGGCCAGCCCCCCCTCCCTTCACAGGGGTCTGACCAGGCCTGTCTACACGTTCACCCCACCCAGTTGGTACAGGGTCTCCGGGCTGCGGCTGTCCTTTCCTTTAATTCAGCATAAGCCTGAAATGTGGCCACATTGATCTCTGCATTTCTCAGATTTTGTGAGTCTTGTATAGTGTCCCACTGTGTAAGGGTGCTGTGATTTTTATGTACACAGGTTTGTCCTTCCTGGACCTAGATTCTGTGTGGCGGAGGGCAGTCTTAGTCGGGGTAGTCTCTCTGAGGCGTGGAGTGGTCACACCTCTGTGTGTGTGTGTGTGGTTTCAGTCGGGGTAGTCTCTCTGAGGTGAGGAGACGGTCGCACTGTCTCCATTCTCGGGAGCCCTGCTTCGCTCAGCGCCCCTGCGCCCCTGGACTTGACTGAGCTCTGCTGAGTCCCCTCACCAGTGGGCGCATAGTCTGCACCAGTGATGAGAGGGCCCAGGGCCTCAGCTGGTCGTTTTATAAAACTGGAAATAAGCTTAGTTAAGGGGGTGGGGGAGGGGGTAGTTATTCCCTCAGACTATGTTTAGAAATCATTGAAAAGTTGGCTAAACCAATGTAACTCTATTATTTTTTATCCTGACTCTCTGAGGTTGTGGAATTCAGTGAACTGGACAAACCCAGAGTCCACTTCTTACGAAAAGTGTTACATATACTGCTAATGGAAACAGAAGTTGAAGATCTTGGTTTGATTTTCGCAAGGTTTGTTCCCAGCTTTTTTGATAAAACACATGGAAAAGAAAAGAGAAAGCATTTTCACTTATGTTGTCTTAGAAAAGCAAGCTTGTCGTGTTTTATGTGTATTTAGGTGCAGCTTTTCGGTTTTAATTTTAATGACGTCTTGTACATTAATCTGGGGGACAGGAGACTTACCTAATGGTGAACTGAGGATGATTTGTGACCGATAGAACATGTTCTGCACTGAGCACTCTGCTTCAGTGGGAATTGGGGTTGTCTCCGTCTCCTGGGTCCCCCCGACGGAGCACAAGGGTGGCTGGTCACTGACGCGTGCCCCTTCTTCCCCAGGGTGTCGGACAAGCCGGCGCTGGGCCTGCTGCGTGAGGGCCTGAAGCTCTTTATCAGCCACTTCCTGCTGAGGGGCGCCCCGGAGGCCGGAGCCCTGCGGGAGCGGGCTGAGCTGTGTACCCAGGCCCTGCAGGGGCGGGGGACCCTCAGGATGTAGGGGGCGGGGGGCCCCTGTCTGCGCCGAGTCTCCTTGAACGGCTTGCATGAAAGGCGGGTGCAGCTGAAGCGCCGACTGTGATGTGTAAAGTAGTGTAGTTCGCTCCAGGGTTATATTGCACTTGTATTTTTAAAGCATCTTCAAATAACTATATTTTCGGGATGGCGGGCAGACAGGGCAGGCGCTAGGCAGTGAGGAGAGTGGTTGTGCAGTGTCTTATTTTTTTCAGAGACAGGATGAGCTCGAGGCTGCAGTCTGAGAGGTTGGTGGTGGTTGTAGCTTTTTATATATTGGTTAAAAATGCAGAAGTTGTCCGTGAAACGTGCCTGATGTGTTGATATGTGAAGTGTCTGGGAGGCTGGTGTCTTGGGAAGGCGGCAGCTGACCTGGGCCTCGCGGGGTGGACGGTGCTCCTGGCTCCTCACCTCGGGTTCCCACGGGGGAAGGGACAGCTCCCGTGAGTGTCACTGACTCCCTGCAAGGCTCGAGTCCCCGCGGGAGCAGGCGGAGCCTGTGCCCGCCGGGCGTGCCTGCTGGGCGGGTTCTCGGGCAGGAACTCAGGACGGACCGCGCAGCTGGTGTGCTCGGGCCCCCTCCCCTCGCTGCACCCGGGCAGAGCGCAGACGAGGTAAATGTCCGTGTTGCCGAGTCCGGGTGAGGTTTATACAGATGAAATGTACTTTTGTAACTTTTCCTCAAGTTTTAAGTTATTTCAAAATAAAGAATTTTTATAAAACATGCATGCTGCAGAACTCATTTTTTCAAGGTCTGAAATATTCTGATGTTTTTCCACGAATTAAGCTAATTTGGATCACTGTTTCCTCCTTTCTTTTACCTTTAGTCTCGGCCGCGCTGGGTTCTCGTAGCTGCGGGGGCGTGTCTCTGGCTGTGGCGTGTGGCGTGTGGCTGCGGCTCGTTCGGGTGCTGTGTCCTGTCACTGCACGCAGGCTCCAGGGCGCCTGGGCCTCCGCAGGTGCAGCTCCGGGGCCCCGTTGCTCCAAGGCACGTGAGATCTTCCCGGGTCAGGGCTCGAACCCGGGTCTCCTGCCTGGGCAGGTGGATTCTTTGCCACCGGACCACCGAGGAAGCCCTGAGCTTTTAAAGAAAACTGCTCGGTTCTCACTGTAGAGCAGCGGCCCCGTGCCTGGTGGCTGACTTCCCTGTGACGTGCCCCTGGGTTGGCGGGAGGAGCCAGAGGGAAGGGCCTGCGCCTGGACCTGGGCCTGGGCCTGGGCCTGGGTGGCCGGGGCGTCACTCACCAGAGCTCTGGGCTCAAGGTGCTGACTGGGGGCCGCAGACTGCACCCCTGCCAGGGTGTTGGCAGGACTCAGCACCAGCAGCTGCTGCAGAACCTGAGCCTGTCTGGGATCGTTTCCACTCCCAGTGGCGTGTGCGGCTATTTGTCCTGAGGCTGCGGAGTCTGAACTACATCCACTTGAGGCCTCTTCCCGGGGGCGCCAAGTAGGAGTGGGGCTTGGTCTCACTCAGCATTTGCTGGGGGCTCCTCCCTGCCACGCGCGAAGTTGAGCCCCAGGACAGCTTGAAGGGTTCAGAGACATCATCGAAGTTCAACAGCCCGCGTCCTGTCGTCACATGCGCCAAGAGCAGCAGGCAGCCAGCCAGCCCCCGCGGGCCAGGCACGGTGAGCTTGCCGGAGGAGGTGACCCTGGGCCCGGCCCTTCCAGCCAGACCCCGGGGTACCGGGGGATGTGGGGGCACCAGCGGAGGGTCGGGACGCAGGGCTGGGCCGCGTGGGGCGCTGGGACCCGGACAGACGGTGGGGTGGGACCGGCGCCTGCAGCCTGCTTGTGAGGAGCGGGCGTGTATCTGCTCAACAGGGGGAAGCCGTTGAAGGAGCGTCAGCAGGGAGTGAAGCCGCCAAGACTGCGTTTCTGGGAACACTGCCGGCAAACAGCAGGAGGTGCCGGGTCACCTGGTGGGAAGGCTGGCGGCTGAGCCCGGGTAGGTGGCTCTCGTCCCCTTCCTGGGGGATGAGACAAGCAGCAGCTGTGAGAAGGAAGATTCTGGAGACGTGACTGATGCACACGCAGAAGTGGGCGCCTTTCAGTGAAGAGGTTGAGGGGGCATTTGGGGCCCTCCTAGTGCCCGTCAGCAGCAGGGTCAGGCAGGAGGGCACAGACACAGCTCCCAAGGTGGGGGCCCCAGGGCCGCGTGTCGGAACCCCCCACAGAGGCTGAGCTAGGCGGAGGCCAGGGACGGGGTGCCGCCCGGCAGCTCCTAGTGCGGAGAGCACAACCCAGGAGGACCTGGAGATGGCCCGGGAGCTCCACACAGCCAGGCCCGTCCCAGGACGGCGGCTGTGACCGCAGAGGGGCTTCAGGCAGACCCCAGACGGGAGCAGCGACTGTGAGCCTCTGCAGGGCTGCAGGTCTCCCCACAGGTGACGCATTTAAGGTGCGCAGGTGGGTGTGTAGGGAGCATCACGCACACTACCCAGAGTGTTCCGACAGGCCGGGAACCTCAGAGCTTCCAGGAAAGGAGCACTGGCCTGAGAATCGGGGCTTTTCCTCTTCTCACATTTCATACCTCACTCCACACGGATGACGCCAACCAGAGAGAGGTCAAGTTCACACGCAGATGACGTTTATCTCAAGTGGAGCTGGGTAAAATGAAAAATGATATTTGCATGATAAGATGATGAAAGGGAAAGTGGAGACTGAGTTTAAAGCGTTGTGAGGCTGCTGTGTGTGTTGGAAAACAATGCCGTATGTGTGCACGCCGGCCTGGGGAGCAGAGGGATTTTGACCTTGAGCATGTCCAAAGTGGGACGCTCAGCCAGGGCCTCTGGGGGGGGTTATCATGTTGGCATGCTCGCGTGCTCAAGTCGCCAGTCTGCAGGGATGGGCGCCCACCCCGCCCCCAGCCCCGGCACGGCCTGTGTCTTTGCTCCCAGCCCTGGGGAGCCAGCCTGTGTGCCTGGCCTGCCCCTCCTGCCCCTCACACACCTGACCGCTCCTGCTGACAGAGGCATGGGGATTGCCCCTCGAGGGCCCCGTGACGTGCAACCAGTGTGGCATTCATCTGGCTCAGCCCGAGGTCAGAATCAGTAAGAGGACTTAAAAATTATTCTCTAGGGAAAATCATTTATGGTGGACTGTGTGTGTGTCATTTTACTTGGTCAGAAGTCCTTCCTAAGAAGATGGCAGATTCTTCTGCTTTCATTTTTTTGGTTGGTCCATCATTAACATTTTCCCTGTTTGGTTTTTCTCTTTCTTTTGTATGTAATCCACATCCATTTACAAACACACATTTTGATGGCAGCTCTAGAAAGTAAACACGGCAGGTCAGGGCGCTTAGCTCTTAAGCCCTCAGCTTGCCTCTCCTGAGAACGAGGACACTCTTATAACATCTTGAGTACAGGGGCGCCAGGACCACTCTGAGAACACGGACGTCTGTTCAGGGATGGTCCAGCAGACGGGCCGCTTGCATCCTTCTGATTGTTCTGAAGTGAATTTCCTACAGTCTTTTTTTCCCCCTAGACAGAGTACAGTCAAGGTTCAAACGTTACCTTTATTTCTCTTTTAATATAGAACACCCACCCCATCCCATCCCCACTTAAAATTTTCTCTCAAGGCCAAAAAAAGGGGGTGGGGGGACTTCCCTAGTGGTCCAGTGGTTAACACTCTGCAGTTCCAATGCAGGGGGCACTGATTTGATCCCTGGTCAGGAACTAAGCTCCCACATGCCCCATATTGCTGTCAAAAAACTAAAATAAAATTCCCTGAGAAACCGGCCCTTTGTCACAACGAGTCCTGCACGCGTCCAGTGGGCTCCGCGTGGACATGGCCGGGGGCGCACACTCGGGACCAGCGGCCTCCCGGCTTCACCGCGGGACAGCAGTCAGCACGCGGCTCAGGCCAGCTGTGCTCGGTCACTAGTTACGGCCGAGGCCCGCACAGGCACATTGTCACCTTCATGATGATTAAGGGACATTAATCACCAGAACTTAAGGACATCTTCAGTTCAGTTCAGTCGCTCAGTTGTGTCCGACTCTTTGCGACTCCATGAATCGCACCACGCCAGGCCTCCCTGTCCATCACCAACTCCCGGAGTTTGCTCAAACTCATGTCCATTGAGTTGGGTATGCCATCCAGCCATCTCATTCTCTGTCATCCCCTTCTTCTCCTCCATCCCCCAATCCCTCCCAGCATCAGGGTCTTCAAATGAGTCAGCTCTTCGCATCAGGTGGCCAAAGTATTCGAGTTTCAGCTCCAGCATCAGTCCTTCCAATGAACACCCAGGACTGATCTCCTTTAGGAGGCACTGGTTGGATCTCCTTGCAGTGCAAGGGACTCTCAAGAGTCTTCTCCAACACCACAGTTCAAAAGCATCAATTTTTTGGTGCTCAGCTTTCTTCACAGTCCAACTCTCACATCCATACATGACCACTGGAAAAACCATAGCCTTGACTAGACGGACCTTTGTTGACAAAGTAATGTCTCTGTTTTTTAATATGCTGTCTAGGTTGGTCATAACTTTCCTTCCAAGGAGTAAGCGTCTTTTAATTTCATGGCTGCAGTGACCATCAGCAGTGATTTTGGAGCCCCCAAAAATAAAGTCTGACACTGTTTCCACTGTTTCCCCATCTATTTCCCATGAGGTGATGGGACCCAGATGACATGATTTTAGTTTTCTGAATGTTGAGCTTTAAGCCAACTTTTTCACTCTCTTCTTTCACTTTCATCAAGAGGCTTTTTAGTTCCTCTTCACTTTCTGCCTTAAGGGTGGTGTCATCTGCATATCTTACAATGGGGAAAAAAATGCGGCAAAATGTGAACTTCCTATTCCCCACCAATGTATTTGCCTAGTGGGACAGGCAGGTGCAGGGATGCTTGCCAGGCTCAATTATGGCAAAATGGTCATTTTCTAACCGCGTCATCCCTCCTGCATGACTAGCTGGCATTCTTTAAAAATGAGCCTTCTGTACTCCGCTGCCTTTTCCCGGGAAAGCTCAGACTCTACCATCTTGAGCCCACTGAAGTGGTGACAAGTGAGTCTCTGAAAGGCAGTCTCGAGACGCTGTCAGTGGCCGCGGTGAGCACAGATGTGTTCCCAGCAGAGCCTGTGGGTCGGGTGGGCGGGGGCCCGGTCTCCCGTGCTCTTGGGTTGCTGGCGCGGTCCCCTGCCTGTCGGGGGAGACCCTGCCGGCTGGAGGGAACCCCAGCTCCGTAACCCGGGCCTGGGGTTCAGTCTCCAACCCCTCATCAGCAGGCTTTGCGGCACGGCCCTGAGCACTCCCGTCCCGCCTCAGCGCTGGTGACGCTCCGGTAGCCTGCCAGCTTCTCAGGCCCGAGGTGCAGAAGGGACGGAGCGCGTCGGGCCTGGCCCGACTCGAGGCCAGCCTCCCCCCGCCCGCCCACAGCGGGCAGCCCCTCTACGAAGCCACTTTGCCATCTGTGTGTCCTCTAGTAGCTCAGGTAGGTCTGTGAGCGCCCGGAATGGCCGCAGTCATTTCTCTGAGCCTCAGGATGGCTCACCAACCACGAAG